GCTTAGTTCTGTAACCATAGACATACTTAAAAGAATGCCCTTTAAAAATGCCCTTTGGAGTATTTTCAAGGAATTTGGCAATTTTAACAGTGATACAAGATGATTTCCTTCTATCAGCCTACTTTTTCTAGGAGAGACAACTGTCTAGTTGTACTGTTACCCAGGATTGATTTAGAGATGTTACATGGAAATCGCCTGAGGACCCTTCTAAAGTTACAGATTCCTAGTCTGACTCACTGGGTTTGAAGAGAAAAGGGCATACGTCTGGTAAAGAAGTTTGTTTTCAGTGTATTTTGAGAATGATTGGGCTAGCAGAAAAGTATTAAAAATACTAAGGAAACCAAAGTTAGGGCTCTGGTTTATCCAGTCACTAAGAGAAAGCTAATGTTGTAAGCCTTGACTTATTTATTTGTGTTTTTTAGAACAATATACAGTGGCCACTATTTTAATTTTTTGGGTCCAGTCGTGGGGCCTGAACTCTGGGCCTGGGCGCTGTCCCTCAGCTCTTCAGCTCAAGGCTAGCGCTGTACCACTTGAGCCACAGCGCCACTTCCGTCCTTTTTCTTTTTTGCTTATGTGGTGCTGAGGAATCGAACCCAGGGCCTCAGGCATGCAGGGCAAACGCTCTACCACTGAGCCACCTTCCCAGCAGTGGCCACTATTTTATATAATCCCTTTTGATCTCCCTTAAGAATGTTAAGTACATTAACAGCAGAATATTATTTTGTATTTTAAAGTGCCAGTAACAACTACCACAAATCACCACAGAATTTTATGCATTTTTAAAATATCGTTATTGTAAAGGTGATGTACAGAGGGGTTACAATTACATAAGTTAGGTCTTGAATACATTCATTTTGAACTCCTCATTTTCTCTCAGTCAAAATTCTATATACTAATTTCAAAATTAGTTCTGGGTTCCCTCCATAAGAGAATATATCTGTCTCCCAAACATGTAAATAATTTCCTGTGTCCATAGATTTCAGCATGAGTAATTTGATGAGAATCCTCTTTGTTATAGATTTTTTTTTTTTGGCCAGTCCTGGGTCTTGAACTTAGGGCCTAGGCACTGTCCCTGAGCTTCTCTTGCTCCAGGCAAGCACTCTACCACTAAGCTACATTCCCAGCCCAGAAATACATGTTATTTAAGCTTCTAAGTATAAGGAAGCTGAGATCTGAAGACTGTGATTTGAAGCCAGCCCAGTCAGAAAAGTCCTTGAGACTCTGATATCCACTTAACTACCAAAACAAAGTGTGTGGGGGGGAGTGGAGGAGTAGAGCTGTAGCTCAAGTGGTAGAGCACTATGCTTGAGCAAAAAGCTAAGGGACAACACCCAGGTCCTGCTGAGTTGAAACCCTAGGGCTGACACACACACAAAGTTACCATAAAGCTTTTTATTTGTTTTTTTAACCAGTTTCCTCTATATAGTACTACGAATATTAAAGGTAAGGAATTAAGACCCTAAAAGAAATATTTTTATGTATTACCCTTTAGATTTTTTTTTTTTTGGAACTTAACCAATTTTAGGTGGATGTCAGCCTAAATGATTAACATTTTTTACTGGCTCTTCTTCAGGGACAAAGTAATATAAAGGGGTCAGATGTTGAGAAATCAACTCATTTAGTATTTAAATATGACTTTTACAAACTTAAATATTAAAGGCTATATTATCATTAATCATAATGTGCTTAAATAATTTTGACTTGTCATGTCCCTCATACCCTGTTGATCAAAGTCAGAGAGCTAGTGGGACCTTTGAGATCTGAGCGCCAGCATCTCTATCATACCCTGAATCAATGGTCACCAATATTCTTCCTGACTAGCTGGTGCAAAGGTTTGGTAAACTTTCTCTGTAAAGATCTAGACAAATGTTTTAAATTCTGTGTCTGTCCCTGCTACTCTACTCTGCCCTCTGTGATAAAAGCAGTCATAGATGATAGGAATGGTCATGCTGTTGGATTGAGGTAGATGGATTCAGCTAGGAACAGAGTTAGCCAACCTTTGATCTAGTAACATATGACAATAAAGAACACTTATAAGATACTCTTTGAGTGTTATTTCTCTATTTTATTTATCAGTGACTGTAGAGGGATTACATTGTTACTCATTAATTCTGACAGAAAATACAGTCCCATGTTCAGGCCTACCAAAGCTATTCTTCTGTGTTTCTGACTGGCTCCCTGTTGCTCTGGGAATATAGTTCAAAGGCTTACATAGGATACTATCATTGTTTTCCTGTTATGCTTCACCTCTCACCATGGCTCTTTTCAAATGTGCCTCACATTCCTAAATTCTACCTCAGCTCTTCTAATATAATCTAAATGCAACCCTGTATTCACAGCTCTTAAGGTCTCAGCAAGTTCCACTCAAGTCTTTATAAATCCAAGCCCTATGTAATTTTTCCAAAATGTATTGAAATTCCCAGGATGAAGGCTACGGTGTGTAGCACTTTAAAGTGGGAGGAAGAGGAGAGAGGTAGCATTAATCAAGTTGGCATTGTACTCACAGTCTGACTTGTGGAATTGAAATCCCTTGTACAACTACTTAAAAAATAAATCAATCAAAATAAAATCTCATGGTCACTTTAGGATCCTGCAGCACATTGGCTTTGATGCAAAACTTAATTCCTCAGTTTTCTGCAGTTTCTCCAAAGCAATTCCTCAATGTCCTTTTAAAGACTTTATCCACATAGAAAATTTGTGAGCCTGGGTTACTGCACTGGGTTTCTGGGAAGAAGTAGCTCACATCATATATATATATACTTCACATCATTTATAAAAGTTTGCTCAATATCTAGTATATGTCTGAGTCAAGCAGAATAGGTCAGATAAGGAGATGTTAGGGAAATTAACCCTAAAATATGTATTCAAATGTTTTATTCTTTCATGCGATTGTTTCTAACACATTTATAAGATTATTTCTTTGTTGCTTTGTATGTCCCTCCCCCACAGTCTAGCCCCTACTTTCACTATATTTGATGTGGGTATAATTTGTGGAGGGGAAGGGAAAAAACAAGTCATTTAAATAGGGATACAGGTGGACCCATTGCAACAATGAGATGTACAAGTCGTTATGTCAAAAATGAACTTTACAACTTTGGTGGGGGGGCGGGGAGGATTGGGTCGGGGGAGCAAGGGGGGGGCAGGATGGGAAGGGGAAACAAAGGAGGATGCTACAATGCTTGATAAGAAATGTACTCATTATCTTGCCCATGTAATTGTAACACCTCTTTACAGTATTTTCACAATAAAAAAATAAAATTAAATTTTAAATAAATAAATAAAAGTTTGCTCATCATGAATTGATGACCAAAATATAAGCATTAAAACCATAAACCTCTTAGAAGAAAACATAGGGATAATCTTTATGATTTGGGGTTTGGCCATGTGTTTTTAGATGAGACAAAAAGTTAAACAAGGAAAAGAAATAAATTGTGTTTCACATAAGTGAAAAGAAAATCACAGGGGAAAATGTTTGATATGTATCTAGATAAACATAAACAACTATAACAAACATTAAAACAACTAGTTTAAAAATGCATAGGATCCAAATGGATCCAAAGAAGATTTACAAATGACCAATAGTAACATGAAAAAAATATCCAATATCATTAGTTATTAGAAAAATAAAGTTTAATAAGTGTAGGAAAATTAAAAAAAAGGAAAATAAAGTTAAAACCATATTAAGATACCACTTCACATATATTCAAATGGAGATCCAATCCAGGGCCTCACACTTGTTAGTTAACTACTCTACTACTAGAACTATTTCCCCACCATTTTGTTTCTTTTATAACTGAAAATAACAAGTGTTGGGGAGAATGTAGAGAAATTAGTACCTTTGGAAATGTGAAATGGAGCAGCGCCTGTAGCAAACAGTTTGGTAGTTCAATAAATTAAACACAGAATTAAGTTGTTCCCTTATATATTTCCAAGGAAGTTAGAAGCAAACATTCAAACAAAACCTCACGCCTGTAATCCTAGCTACTCAGGAGGCTGAGATCTGAGGGTCATGGTTCAAAGCCAGTCTGGGCAGGAAAGTCTATGAGACTAATCTCCAGTAAACCACCAGAAAACTGGAAGTGGTGCTGTGGCCTTGAGCTGAAGAGCTCAGGGACAGCACACAGGCCCAGAGTTCAAGCCCCACAACCAACAACAACAAAACTTGAACATTATTCATGAAAGCCAAATATCCATAACTGATAAATGGCTAAGCAAAATTTCATGTATCCATATTGGTAGAATGTTTTGCTGTATAGCTTAGGCATATCTGTGAGTAAACTCAAAGCCACTGGATTATGCACCTTACATTGGTGGATTCTTCAGCACATGAGTGATGCCTAAAGAAATGTATTTCTCAAAAGAAATACAGCTGTTGAAAAAGGAATCATGTGTAGACATCTCAAAATTTCACTTCATTCCTTCAACAATCCCATGATGATGACACCCTAGTAATCAGGATCTATTGTGATCTCCCTGACACGGAGAATTAGGTGTTTTGAAAATGTGAACTAAAAATGTTTAGCAAAGTTAGCCAGATTCAGAAGAACAAAGATCACATTTCTGACATGTGTGTAGTTGCTGGGCCCCAACTATAAGCATAGATGTGCATGCATACAGGATTGTGTGATCAGTCTAAAGTACAGTATACATGTATGAATACCATGGCAAAGCCCCTTTGAACAATAAGCATACACTTGAACAAAAATGAGGATCTAGAAATTGAAACATGTCTTGTCTGGGGTGTAGGTACTAGTGAAGGGGGTAGATGAAGGAAGAAGGGGATAGAGGATGAATATTGTTATATAGTTGCATGAAAATGGAACAAGTAAAGTCTCCGAGACTGGTTTGGGGATTGGTGACTGATCACGATGCACTGTCTACTTAAGAGAGGTAGTAAAATGGGCAAGTATTGATGTGAATAAAAAAATAAGTAAAAGCACTTAGTAAGCAATCGGAACTTTAGGTGCTGCTGAACAACTTCATCTCATTTTTCACAGGTACAAGGAATTAAGGAACACACTCCAACAATGCCGGCTTCCATGGGGCAACGAAAGGGAGTATGGCGGCTTAATGCCTGTTACACTTCCTGATGAACACCGACAAAAATGTGGATCGCCTCCTGTCCTGGCCAAAGGACATCAGCATTATGGATTTGGTGGAGAATCATGGACCAGGTAACTGAAGCTCTGCTCTTCACCCCACCAGGGTTCTGTTAGCCATTTGTCTTTATTTCCTTTTTTGTTTTGTTTTGTTTTGGTTTTGGGTCTGCTCTCTGAACTCTGGGCCTGGGCGCTGTCCCTCAGCTCTTCAGCTGAAGGCAAGCGCTCTACCACTGAGCCACCTTCCCAGCCCCCATTTGTCTTTATTTCTACTCTTAGTCCTTTGTTAACAAAAATCTGTCCCGAGACTTATTCCTTGTGCTAACTTAGGTCACAAATAAAAAAATATGAATCATGTGATTTCTAATTGTGAAGTACATAAAAATTCTGTTGGCTTTTGCTAGTTTTTTTTTTTTTCGGGGGTGGGGGGGGTCCGGTCATGGGCCTGAACTCTGGGCCTGGGCACTGTCCCTCAGCTCTTCAGCTCAAGGCTAGTGTTCTACCACTTGAGCCACAGTGCCACTTCTAGCTTTTTTCTTTTTTGCTTATGTGGTGCTGAGGAATCGAACCCAGGGCCTCATGCATGCAAGGCAAG